TGACTTTGTAAATAATTATAAGATGCCTTCATATGTTTCGCGAATGTTTTTGAACAGTATAAGAATCAGGTAAATCACCAAAAACTTCGACGTAGCAATGATGTTAAGATCCCATTCAAAGCATCTGCTAAACTTAGGAAGTTTACAGCTTTATCCAGTATTAAATTATGGGATAATTTACATGATGAACTGAAACAAGCACACTCACGCAACTCATTTAAGTATAAAATTAGAACATTTTTGAATGTGAAAAAGAAAGAATTCACAACCCCAAGATTAAACCTATCCAGAGATAAAGAAATTGTCTTAAATAAAACGAGATGTGATCTCATTTTTAGGCAGCATCATTTGTACATAACTTCAAAAATATTCCAAATGCCAAATGTAAATGTGGTCACTCTACTGAATCAACCAAACACCTATTGCTCCATTGCCCTCTTTTTAACATTCAAAGACTCAATTTTCACAGAGAATTAGGGGGACTCCCATTCTTTAATTTAAACTCTTTTAATAATAATGTAATAGAAAACAGGAAGACAGGGTAGACTTTCAACTATTTGCAGATCCTTCTCTTGACACAATTACAAATAAAAAGGCTATTGAATTAACAGCCGAATTTTTACACTCTATTGTCAAGGAAGTCAAATAGTCCAATATTCATTAATATGTACATATATCTCTGACCTGTCTTCACGTTTTCACGATTATTTTCATGTTCATAAATATGTTTTATATCTATCATTTTTGCATTGTGACCTATTTTAACCTATATTGTAACTACTTTAACAGGGCCAATAATGCTCCGGCGTAGGCCTTGTATCTGTTTGTATGATGTATTATGAAATAAAGGAAATATAAAAATTTAAAAAAGAAAAACAAAAAACCGCTACTTGTGTACTGTTGACCGCTAGTGAGGTACTCACTAAAGATCTCCGGTCTCGGTCAACAGTACTTTTTAATTTACAGTATCCGTGCACAAATATGCCAGTTGACCCCAAGAGAGGTCGACAATTATGTTTCAAATCACCCTCAAAACTACTCGAATGTGTAGTGAAACCATGTAGTAGAAAATGTTGTCAGTATTTGGCATGAAGCTACTGTACTGATCCAACGTATTTTCAACTACAAGATTTCAAGTACACTAGTAATTGTGAGGGTTATTTGAAAAACCAACCCAACATATATGGGGGTAACCCAGGGGTGAGTCGTCTTCTGTGTTTAACGTCGCAAACTAGAGCGAGTTGGACAATGAGCTTTCGTCCACCCGTGTGCCCACCAAGGAGTGACGTGATAACTTCGCGCGTATTTGATTTCTGAATATTTTCAAGTCCTAACTGTAATGAAATCAATAAAATGCTTTATTAATATAGAACAAGTAAAATTCACAAATATACCAAGAAAACCCAACCTTAAAGTAAAAAACATCCAATTAGACTTTAGAGGTAAAAAATCCAATTTCTTTTATACAATACTGAAAAATAAAAAATCTGAAAAATGGTTTACCTACAAGAAATGGGAAAGAGATTTTTGTATAACAAATGAAGGTAAAATAGATGAAATAAATTGGCCAAATTTTTTTACTAGCAAGATAATAAAAGTTAAAGACAAAAAAATTGCCAATTTTAACTTCAAAATAATTAACAATATTCTTCCTGGATTAACTGACTTATTTCTCTATGGGATAACAGATAATTATCATAGATTGTAGTATTTGCAATAATTTATGTGACTTGAAACATATTATTTTTGAATGTTCCTTAGCAAAAGATATATGGGCACTGATACATAAAACATGTGGCCTTAATATTTCTTACAGAAAAATTATAATTGGTTATAATGGCCATGACTCACATACACATTTTTTAAATTATTTTATCAGCATTGTTACAAACAGTATTTATAAATCATATATTTTAGAATTGAATAGTAAAAAACAAAGAACATTTGAAAGCATGATTTCATTGATAAAATATGAAATTAATTACAGAAAAAATGTATTTTATTGTTCAAAGTGGAATTTTGTATCAAAACTATTAAAATGAAAATTGTATGAATTATCTACTTTATGTCATTGTTTATGTTATGTAAAATAACCAAAAGTTGAATAAAGACTATTTTAAAAGAAAAAAAAAAAACTTCGCGCGTATCGAGATGGCTCCATTGGATTCTCGAAAAAAATTGTATCCTTGAGAAAATTACTTCTCATTTCATCAATATTGGGAGATATATAGAACGTTATATACGAGCCTAACATTGAAAAAATAAGGCCCAAAAGGTCAAGTAATGCCCAAAAAGCGCACTTAAGAGGCCCTACAATATTTTTGGGCCAACATTTTTTTCTGGGCCCATCCTAGAGCAGCGCAGAAAATTGTTTAGAACCCTAAAACCCAAATTTGTGCCAAAATTCTGAAAATTTATGACCAGTTCTTTAAAAATTTGGCCCAAAATTGAAAAATAAGACCCAAAAAGATCAAGTTATGCCCAAAAAGGCCCACTAAAGAGGCCCTACAACATTTTTGAGCCAACCTTTTTTTCTGGGCTAATCCTATGGCCGCGCAGAAAAAAATAAGTCCCTACAATACCTTTGGCCCAATTTCTTTTTCCAGGCCCATCCCATCGCGTAAAATTTTAGGACACTAAAACCAAAATTCGGGCGAAAATTTTGAAAATCTATGACCCGTTATTTGAAAATTTGGCCTGAAATTGAAAAAAATAAGGCCCAAAAGGTCAACTAATGCCCAAAAAGGCCCACTAAAGAGGCCCTACAATATTTTTGGGCCAATATTTTTTCCGGGCCCATCATAGGGGGGCGCCTCCCCCCCCCCCGGAACCGCCAGAAGGCTATGTTTAACAAAACACAAAGGACGATCCTAAAAAAAAACAAAGGGAAAGGGGCACAAATATGTCCGCGAAAAAAATTGGGCCAAATTTTGAAAAATAATGCCCAAATTCGAAAAACATATCACAGTAATGCCAGTTTTTTAATCTTAATTGCCCAGTGAATGTGAGTAAGAGCTTCAAGGAAGCAAAAAGGTAGGTCCACATTTGTTAGGTGATATCAGACGAGCCCCAAGAGCCTCCCCCACCCCCTGGCTACGGGCCTGGAAGATATTCTGGATTTTGAAGCCCTGCGATCGGAGGATGCATTTTTACAATTCTTACCCTATTTTGAGCTAGGATTCAGTGAATAATTTTATCTTTGTGATAAAACTCAGAATTTTGGTACATCGTAAGAAAATATTGCGGCGTGTTCCCTGTGGAAATTTGAGGGTTTTCCGTCCAAAAATTCAAGATGGCACCTATAAACTTTCAACATTTTTTGGGAAAATAAAGTCTTACGTTTTATTTTCATAGTGTTTTCAATAGATTGATAAGTACTTTATCTTTCATTTGACACCAAAAAGAGCTCAAACAGGCCACATCGAAGCTTGCATAATGTTATCAAAAAATATTTGATCTGTCAAGCTTTATGTATCAAGTTTTCATCGATGTTAATGATTCATTTTTACTTTTTTCTTCTAAATTAAGCAAAGTGGGGCTTTAATAAGAAAAGGTGTTTTAACAAATGGTAATATAATTTTTAAGGCGCTCACCAAAATGCAAACTTCCATCACAATGTGAAATCCTAAGCCACGATGACTATTTGACTATTGCATAATGGCGTTTCCAAAATTTTAATTAGTAAAGCTCGTGATTGAATAGATCATACAGAGTAGATGAACTTGTATCTCAAAATATTTATTTTATATCTACAGTGTATAAACCAATGGAAGTATGTCAATAATGACGTCATACCGAGACAGTTCATCGATTATTCTCTATCGTTACCTTGCATACAATCTGAAAAGTTGCAGCAAATAGCTAATTTAATTAAATGATAATAATATTTATAAAGTGTTGTTGGACGTAATGGTAGGTACATAACGAGCGGTAAAAATATATAGTGTATCTAGGGAGCTTATATCGTCAAGGTCCAGGACCGGGATGGATACATGCTGGTCCCTCTCCTAAAAATGAACTCAATTTATGTTTTACGAAATAAGAAATATATTTACATTTAAACTTATGCTTTATATTTTAAATAGAGTGTGAAAATCTCACAAACTTAAAAACAATTTTTTAAGACTAAGAAAACGGGTACCTTCGTGCGTTTTTGAATTTCGGAACTTTACGAGGTGTGTTGTACCAAGGACCTCAGTATATATGGAATACATCTGTTATGTACGGTCGGCTTTGGATGCAGAGTTTATCCCAAGGGAAATATGTGTATCTCCCTTGGTCCCTGCGCGGTCCTTCTGGAGATATAATACATATTTTCCCTTGGGATAAACGCTGTATCCAAAACCTCCGAGTACATAACCCTTATATATATTGATATGATAATCCCCGAATTGTTATTGGCATAAAGCATATTAGCTTTATTGTAAGGAAATGTGTTTACAACTTTAATATACCAATACGCGATAACGTTTAATTTAGTTCAGTTCAGCTACCTCTCGTTTGAAGAGCTCTCGTGTATGGTACAACTTCGTCTACATCCGGGTTATTTCCCATTGGATTACACAGGGGTGCTATTTTCAATGCGGCACTGTGACTCTATTAAACAGTTATGTAGAGTTTCATTTGCACAAACGATAGCTATAGGTATGTATGTAATTAAGATATATGACAAAGCTTTTTGAACTAGAATCCCCAAATCCAGAGAAATCTGTAAATCTTGAAAATGCCCTCCAATTCCAGTGACGTCACTACTATCCCAGAAATTACTCAGACGCCATCGAAGATCGAAAAAGTATAAATAATGTTACTTGGAATCTACGATTATCTTTCTGATTATTGAAAAGATTGGACCATATAACTATGCTTGGGGGCTGATGGAAGAACAGAAGCTGAGAAACGTTCAGAGTAATCGACTCGTTCGGCGGGCTAATGAAAATTTGTCCCTTCCAAAGCGATGTATCATGGGAGATATTTATGTAAATTGTCCAGTTAGCCCTTTATCAAACGCTTGATACAAAGCGTACGCTATATGGTATAGGCGATTGTGTGGAGTGGTTCAGTTTAGGTCTCATCACTGGTTCACTTGCTCCTTCAGGTAATCTCACTTCAAACTTTTGCATCAATCCAACAAAGAATATGAAAAGCTCCATCTTAGCGAGGGATTCACCAAGGCATTGTCTTTTACCTGAAAGTTATTGTATATTTGATTATTTCCATTACATCACATATGTCGTCTTCATCTTTGTTAATAATCTGCAACAGAGGTAGCGAGCCCCCACCAAGGGCAGTAGTGGAACGACACGAATCGATCCCAGTATGGTTGCATTGCAACTGAAGAGACTCGAGGAAATCATGGCATTCGCGATGACCCAGAAAAGGCTTTTGCTTTTTGATGCAACCAATATATTTTACTTCGATATTTAAAACAAATTTAACTCAGTTAAAGGAATACGTCTATAACTGTTTGAAAATCTATTATACGAGGAAATTATGCCACTTTTTATCATTCTGAAGAGGTTATATTTGCTTCTTGTTCTTGGTACAATGTTTAGGCCAATTTGTTTTATATTATTCAAACAGTACGTGAAATTACACTTTAACTCCAGGGAGCAGAAGACAAACACATTGTCCTTAAAACCCAAAGTGTTGAGGACACTGTATATTGGGAGACCACAGATGTAGCGCGACCGAAGATGTTTGAAAATATTTCAAGGAACCAATCAAATCCCTTGTAGGTTTTTGTAAGACGTTCGGCTATTTCCGGTTGTGGACGATAAATCGCACATGTACTTACCAACTGAAAAAACTGAGAAATGATCATCTCGTTTCACTTTCCCGTCATCCCCTAGAAACCTCTCTGGTCTGAAGACTTCTGGATCTCCCCAATGTTCAGGGTCATTATGGATTGCATACAGATTGGCTCCAACTAATGTGTCTGGTGGAAGATTGTATCCCTGAAAATTATCAACATTTTATATTTCAAAATAGATTTTTATCATAAAAGTATAAATTGAAGAAATTATTCTTATTCAAAATTATGCAGAGTGTCGCCATTTTGAGCACTTTTCAAGCGATTTTTTTAGCTGAAAAAACTTGCTACGAGCCTGAGAATAAATAGCTTCTTGTATCTACAAATGTTTTACCCCACCTTTAATTGCGTTGCTTCGGTAGTTTGGTGGACCAATAACAGAGGGGCAACCACCCCATACTTTCTCTGGACCTCTAGGATCGTCGCTTCTGTGTAGGGGAGATGTAGCTTATCCGCCATTGAAGGGGGTCTTTCAAAACCTATGTTGTCACGGATTTCGGCACGCACCTTCTTTTGAACCTCTGGATATTTCACCATACAAAGTAGCGTCCACCTTAATAATGAATAAGTTTTTAATGGATGGATGGATGCGACACTTTGGTTAGGACATATTTTTCATTTTTATATTTTATTGGCATTCTTTCACAATTTGAATTGGCTCCCCCATGAAGTAAAACTATATCATACGTATATATTGGGGGGGGGGGGGTGGTTAAGCTACACGTTAAATAAGAAAACCTGTCCGTGAATGTGTAGAATTATGGCGCTTAATGCCTTGGTCACATACCTGTAGGCTCCGATTTTCACTAAGGCGCCCGGCCGATTGAGTATTTTGTTCAAAATTGAATGCAATATTGAACAAAACACTCAATCGGCCGCGCGCCGGCCGATGGATTGGAGCAAATGTGACCCAGGCATTAGGGATGCGTTTTCCCTTTGCACATACAATATGTAGTATTTAGTTACTTTCCTGGAAAAGTACAAATTACTAAGAGTTAAGTAATTTCAAGTAATTGGTCCCTGGCAAAACCAAATGAGATGAAGACAGAAATCCCCGGGGGACATAATACAATGAATGGGATAAAGACAGAAATCCCCGGGGTCATGATACACGTCCACGTACAAGTTTTCTTAAAAACGTGAAGCTTTATCTCCTTTGTGATTTTAGTATTTTACCTGATTGATCCTGCTGTTGTGTCCGTACCAGTTTGGAAGAGATCCCCAATGTTATACAACAACTGCTCCTCTAAAACATAAATCAGAACGCTCTCTTAAACTAGACTAAAGATAAATCAACTAGTCATTACATTTGGAACATTTCGGTGTATAAGAGTAATGCAAAGGACCGCGAGTTGTTTGTAGAATGAATCTGGGGAGCTTTTTCATGCATTTTGCTTGTGGTTTTAATCGAAAAAACATCAATACACTTTTAGATTTTATTGACTGTGAGATTGTACCATATAATCTTTAAAAATGTTTGTCATTTTTAAGGATTATCTATGGATTAACACTCAGGTATTGTTATTTTTCAAACTTCAGAGGGCTAAGAATCATGATTACGAACGCTTTTGAATAATATTAATGCTGTTTTATAGGTTTCATGAATGCCAATAATTTCTCAAATTGTGTAAATGGTACCCCTTCCTTTATCCCAAGAATATTCTCTTTTAGGAATTTCCCATAGTAATCCAATAGTTTAGTTCAAAGTAAGTTTTGAAATAGCAGGAAATCTAATCACTAATACACACCTTATTGGGTTGTTTTGGTTTGTATCACAAGCCACTGAGGTGTGTATGTATGAGCTCGATTGATATTGGAGCCCTGCGTTTAGAGGATGAGGAAAAACCTACCCGTGAACCAATGTTGTTCTGTAGTACCTTCATGCTCCTTCATTTCTTTTATGAACGCCGAGATGTAATCTTCTATTTTATTTGGGTCATAGTCTCTCAGATGCTGATCAACCTGGAATCATTTCAATGTAGTCACGTAGTCAGTTATTCAAACCAGGCCCGTAGCCAGGGGGGGGGGTTCGCAGGGTTCGGGCGAACCCCCCCCCCTGGCCAAAAATTCTTTCAAAATCATGCAGTTTTTCACCAATTTGAGCACTTTTCAAGTGATTTTAGCCATATTTGGGGCAAAATTGTCAAATGTGAACCCCCCCTGGAAATTTTTGAAAATTGAACCCCCCCTTGGCAAATCCTGGCTACGGGCCTGCAAACATTGTTACAGTTTTTAGAATATCGTTACGTAAAAGCTAATAACAGTCAAACACTAAACTGAATTCTGATTACTCATAGAATAAATGTAGACCTCCCCCCCCCCATTCAGGAATAATATAACTTAATTGACAAATCTGCGGAGTGCTTTTCATTGTTCTAGCAATTCCGTTCAGTGTGTTCCTTCTAATTGCGCTGAACGAAATGTTCTTACCTCCGGTTTGTATATTCCATTGAAAAGTCTGTCCAGTGCCTGGTCAAGTTTCGATTTCCCATTTAATGGTAAATATTTGGAAAAGGGAATATATTGCTGTATACTAACTTCCCTTGCGTACAAGAATAACTGAGACACCATTTGAGTCATTTCCAGAAATGTTTCATCGGTGTATTCGAACCTGTGCCCAAAAACCAGATAGCTGATAACATTTGCGGTGGCGTTACTGACGAGATCGGTCGTATCAAAGGGACCGCTTTCATGGCGTGAGATCTCATTAATGGAATAGTCAAGCTCAGATTGAATAACCGCCTCCATTCTATTTTTCCCCAGACCGAAATCTCGCAGTGTATGCAATGCAAAACGCCTCTGTTCTCTCCATCGTTGTCCATTATTTCCAAAAATACCTTTGGAACTAATTCCGAGAACCTTTGGCCTATAATGGAATGCTTCTTTTGAGTAAGCTTCTCGGACATCTCGTATTTTATGCAAAACTACTGCAGGTCGTCGCCCCACTCGCATCGAGACAATGTCGCTCGAGTACTTCTTTGTGAAATCCCATACTCTTTTTGCGCCAGCGTTGTCATCTGGAGTTGCCATGAGAACTGTAGCATTACCTACATATAAGGATAACCGTATATTAATAATGAAACAGGTTTGTATTTCAGCTCTGGATACCTTTTATTTTGACCTACATATTATGCACGTATATATACTATATGAACGTTTTAACAATTGGAGACGCGTGAACACCCATTAGTTGACGGACACGAGGAAAACGCCCATATAGCGGACCACTTCTTTACGTATTCGTGAGAAAAACACGAAGTAGGTGGAAAATACACTTAGGATCACGCACAGAAAATAACTATGGTTTTTACTATAACAACTATATATCGGGTGTCCCGAAAAACGTCACACTTTTTGACAAGTATTTTCTCAGCAATTACAGGCTCAAAGGACCTTATACACCCTCCATTGGGATCTCCCCATGGGAAAAAAATAATTCATCTGATTTTTCAAAATGAGTATTCTGCTTCAATTATTACATTTATATGCACACTAGTATCTTGTTGACCTATATTCAGCACTGTATTGATGTATAGGCCACTTATTAGGGTCATAATTCAATCATGAAGTGTAGAGGCATAGATTCCAAACCAGGAAGTATTTTTGTGTCTGTCAAAATCCATTTACATCCTACGCATCCCTGCATCTTATCCAAATATGTTACTACATAATGAAATATAATAGTATAATCGTTGGTTTTACAAACTTGTATGATATTTGATAATTGTAAAAGTTGTTTTTGGAGCATTTTTCTAAAGCCATTTTGTAGGAAAAAAATGATGAAAAAATGTACAATCTTTTAATTTTAAGTATGACCTGAATCGATTGCAAACTTCATATTTGCACATTTGATGAGATAGACCATTTGTGTCGTATTTTGAAATCATTTAGTTTGCAATCGATTCAGGTCATAGTGTATTTTTGGTATTTCTGTGATAATCAATGGAAACCAATGGCCTCTATTGGGATCTGCTGATATTCTCATGTTAAGTCAATGGTGCACAGCCCCATGTAAGTCAATACAATCTTACTGAACGAAATGATCCCTATCTCAGCTTATGTGTGTCCGAGCACTTTCATATTTTCCAAAGTGTTATATGACATTTTATTCTTCATGTTACACCTACGAATGATTCATTTTGACCATAGGGATATTTGCCAATAATTGCACATTGTCCTTTATTGAAAATTTCTATAATATTTAAGAAATATAGACTGAAAAGCAGGGGCTATAGGCCTATCGTCGAATACACCCCGCAGGGCTAGGCACAAACGTTTTCTGTACCCCGAACGACCGAAGGGAGTGAGGGGTTCGAAAGCTTTTGTGCCTAGCCCCAAGGGGTATATTCGACGATATTACCCCTGCTCTGAGGTCTATATTACGATTCGAACATGAAAACTCACCAAATTTTTTCGAATATTCATCATGGTCCGCCATTACTACGACCCACCGTTATGACGTCACACATTACACGTATTAACTGGGTTATTGATCTCGAATATAACCCAGCTGAAGCATTGACTTTGTTTACAGTTTATAGAAGGCGTGAATACAGTCATGTTCGAATTTCTTATAATACCCTAAGGCTACTTTATAGAACTTTTCAATTTTGAACCAGTATTTGCTCAGAAAATTCTTGTCAAAAAGTGTGACGTTTTTTGGGACAGACGATAAATGGTCGCTTTTAAATGTGTTTCAATCAGAGCAAGCTGTAGCAAAATGTTATTTTTCCTATGAGTTTATAACAAGGTACTAAATCATCAACGTATATTTTTGATAAAATGTTGTTTCTGTGAACTAAAACGTGTTTATTGACTAAATTTCCAAGCATTATATTTGTATGGTGTGTCACTCCCGATGTCACTATAGGGGGTATGTGGGTATGGAGCATAGGAAAGCAAATGGTTTGCTCAAATCGATGTATTTATTTTTATCGGGGAGAGGGGGGGGCATGTAGCCTAATATTTTTTTCTCAATTTTGCATTTGACGGTGACATTTCACAAGTAGCTAAATGATGCCTCGATACACAAGTTTTACCTATGATTGGCCAAGCGAAGGGTCCTGGTGGTAAGTTCCATCTTCTTGAATCAAGGTACTTTATTGTTATTAAGATCAACAATGTCGCTATCATCAAACCTGTCAACCAGTTGGACAGCGAATCCATCGGAAATGGTGTCATTGTTTTCCACTCTACAAATGTTAAGTTACAACAACAAAGATTTGACATTAGCTAATGTAATTGCTTTGCTCAAAACAGAACGTGTCTAGAGTGTATATTTTCAAAAGATTCTGACTTTTTATGTTGATTCATATATGATATTTTGATTATAATGGTTATCTGGGAGAAATTAACCGACCTCCACACTTTTTTTGAAAGATCTAAAGTTAAACCTACCAATGTTACAAAAATTAAAGGGGGAACATAACGACATTAACAATTTAAAGTCTCATATCATTTCTGATGTTTTAAACTCTAATTAACATTACGCGTATATCATCCTTAAACTGTATCTAACTTTGATTTTTATTCAGCTAAAGGACGACAATGATCTACTTCACATCTCCCCATACATCCTACGTATATAAGGGTTATGTACTAGGAGGTTTTGGATACAGGGTTTATCTCAAGGGAAATATGTGTATCTCACGAGGGACCGCAGGGAGATACACATATTTCCCGCGGGATAAACACTGTATCCAAAACCGACCGTACATAACTGGTGTATCTCATACTTGAGTGTGTTTGGGGTAGATATAACCTTTACCACCTTTTTCAAATGACTAGATAGGCCTATACTGTAAAAGCACAATTTATATTTAACATTTTCATAATATTCCTTCAGTTCAATACAATAGAATTGTAACATTTAAACTTTTTGAAAAATTTTAAACTTGTGAAATTTAAATTTCTAAAATTTTTAAACTTTTTTAAACTTTTGAAAAAATTCCCGGGAGCGGGATGGATATATTATATCTGCCCGCATTTGGCCTAGAGCGGGACATATACCCGGGGGACATATACAATATATCCTGCCCGCTCCTCAGATATGATATATATTCCCGGGTGATATCTACCCCAAACCCACTCAAGTATGAAATACACGTAGATATCTGAAAACTACTTACGTAAACATGTACGTGTACCTCTAGGAAGTCTAGATATATTACAAGAATGACAATATTTTCTTTTGAACGTCTTCTCTCATGCAGTGCTATTGTTATTACTATAACAGAATCTTATTATATTACTACATCTAAATCAGTGTGTTCCTACTAAATGCTTATTCACCTTGGCGTGTTTACGTCTACGTATTGAATCAGTACAGTTGAATACATAGCGCCCGGTAAAGATATAACGACATTAACAAGCCCGAGTTCAATATGAATAACTTAAGAAAGAAACCGTCTATGTTTACTTTTAAGACAAATTAGGGTTAAATACTGGGACCATGCGACTTTAGGGCTCTTTGGTAAAGCAGTTGTATTCACCATCTTAGATGAAGCCTACCCTCGATATAAGTATGAGCTTATATTCTACTTGCGAGTAAGTGTCAACAAATGGGACTATACAAAACTGATAAGCCCAACTACTACAAATACGATATTTACATCTCAGTAAGAATGGGTAAAATACTGGGACTATATATCGTAAGAATGTAAATAAAACCAAATCTACCTTTTTTAGACAGCACTTACTTACGCTCTAATAATTATTTGATTACGTTTATGACAAATGGATTATGAGATAATCCCTTTCTTATTTAGCTATTTTTTGATCATTAATTATGTAATATCCCCCAATCTTTTTGTACATTAACCATATCAAAAATTGTTGCTTTTACGCCAGATATTTGACGTCAAATTTCCTCTTTTTCGGATTATCCTAATCCCGATGGGACTCACTTTTCCTTTTCAGAGGTAAATCATGACTTATAGTACACTTCAATTTAGTCGAAAAAATTGGTATAAAATGCTGCACTTTTGGTGTAAATTAGTTCATTATTGCGGAAAATTGGTGATGATAATCCGTTCGACGTTACTTTCATTCTATTGCCCCTTATTGAAGATGACATATTGGCCAAACAAACGCATTTATTTATGTGGTGATACAATCATTAGAACTTAAGTGAGAGCTGTCCAAAAAAACTCTTTAAAATGTTTTTAAGTTTATGGCCAAAAACTGGGACTGCAATGGCATTTTGTAAATAAGGCTTGAATGCCATTTACAAAATATTTGAAATCACACTTAAGAAAATAAATGTTGAATACTACAGCATGTCATAAGGTAATACGATTCAGATTTCAGGTTAAAACAAATCAAATATGACAAATATTATAGGCTACTCACTTTATTTCGTCGATGCATCTTCTTCAGATTCCTAAGGCTGATGGTTCAAAACCCTCTGAGGATTTTCTTTCAAAAAGTGAACCCCCTTGGCAAAAGCTGGTTGCGGGCCTGATGCCAATTCAACAGTGAATCAGATATAAAATTCAATCGTTATTATGCTCTAACATTGATTATTGTAAATGCCGTAAAGGTCAGAATCTGGGAGTAACAATTTAGTATTACATTACTGCCGTGAAATGTTTAAATACTACATTTGTGCATCATTTTTTTTATCTCCCTACTTATTGACACCATGGGAGATTACAATATGAGAAGGTGTCACAGGCCTAACAATATATTTATTCTATTTATTCATGTTCGTCTCACGACAGATTAAAAAATATACAATTTGAAAATTTACTTTGTTTCTAAAACACTGCAAATGTGTCCCGGGCAATGACCAAGCTCCGCATTCTAGCCCGACCCCCCCCCCCCCAACTACCCCGCCCCTGGCTACGGGCCTAGTCATTTCAAATAATTCGCCTCACATCTGACACCATTATATGATTTGACAATAACCCAGATGTGAGAAGGTAAGTAGTCACCAGTTTCACCACGGGATGGTTAATTCGAGCAGATGACATGGTAGATATAACAGAAAGTTCACGTAAATATAGATTATCCTATATGAGGTTCAGGATATTGGGATTATCCCGAGGCAAATATAATATATTTGCCCGAGGTCCCGAGGGAAAATATGTTATATGGGATAATATGTTTATCCCATACCAATATTGGTCATCTGGTTCACATTGTTCAATCGTGGAAATATTTTAGAATATTCATGTCCAGTTTTGTTTTCTTGGCCGTGGGTGGATTTTCCTGTTCTCTCAAATATTCCCACATTTATTTTCTCGAATTTTTGATTGATTACGTGGATGCTCCTTCCCTTTTTTAAACCATCAAACAAATCCCGATTATCTGTGTTTTCTCCATTGTCGTTTACAGTCATTACGCGAACGTTACAAATTATGAACAAATATGCGAGCGGCGATTATGACGTAGCGGGCAGATATACTATATCTGCCCGCTCGGAGCGGGACGTAAAGCTATATCTGCCCGCTGATGAAAATATAAGTTTTTACAAACTGGTTTTACGTACCTGTAACACGTCCAAGTATGGGATAAACTTGAATATTCATCAGTTTTAGTAGTTAAACTTTCATATCACCATTATGTATCTGATAGTTACACTCCCCTCCATAAGTTTGGCAACCTTTTCCCCCCATTGAACTACGTGTTAAAGCCTCTTTACGTTTGAATTTTTATTTACTTAACCGGCGATGAAATAACTTATAATATCGATGGAAACGTAACTTGACTTTATTTCCAATACCTCCAAAGAGCGAGGGAAAGTATCGCAACAGATTTTTGACAGTAAATAATTTTTTTCTAGTAGTTTCTGGCTGTACAAAAATGAATGCATATGAAAGGCCAATGTATAATCTTTAAGAAAAATTCAAAGAATGGTTTCAAGATCAATTGGATTATCTCATAAGCCATGTTTAATCCACCCATCAACAAGCTTTTTTCAAAATACAATCGTCATTTTCACCATCGTCCCTCATTTTTTTTTACAATTTTCATGCAAAGTTACATTGTACTTGAACACATGTTTCATCACTTAAAATGTATAAGGAACTCCTCGTGGATTAGGATTATGATAATCCAATATAAGGGGATCCAATGGGGCTATGCTTTTAGTAGCTTTTAGTACAGCACACTCATATAAGATGTCATTAGTGTGCCATAAAGTTAGTTCAAAATGTTTTCATAAATGAATGGTTGGACTTGTTTGATCCCCTGCTGTTTGATCCCCTGTTTAATCAATGGAGCATAACCGCAGCATTTTCCAAAAAATTCTGAATACCTGTCAAGTTGACTGTTTAATGTTTGAGTGCAGTTAAACCTGTGTGTGTGTAAGTTGCTAAGAAATTCTAAATACCTCTCTTTATGATAATTTCTATGATGCCTTATTATAGCATTTACTTTGAACAGGTTTTCTGTATCTTGTTTATCAGTAATGATTCACGAGGTACAGTGCTATTAAAATCATAAATACAGTACAAGAATTTAGTACATCATACCTTTGCCAATAATTTTAGTAAGAGAAATATTTTGATCCAGCTTCTGAAAAAACACTGAACATATATGATGATGTGTTATAACACACTTCCTTATTTGAGTTTATCTCCAGATTGATTATTCAAATAATGAAATGAAGGATGATATGCTAAGAATAATTTTTGCATATTCATCAATTCAAGAAATGTTATCCTAAGAAAATGTTATGAGTAACATACACTCTTACCTTAATGTTAACATTAGGGAGATTAAGCTTGCATATAAAATCGAAACGCCAACCTATGACCAATCGCCCATACAAATGCATCGCTAAATATTTTCCATTCACATTTAGGTTGTGAAAAACATTGCAAGCTTAAAGTCCCTATTGAGAGTCTCTGAAAACCACAATCAATACCATTGAGTGTGTGCTGTATACTACCTTTATCATTATTTCTAAGATTTACAATAACATCTTTTTAGCAAAATGTCCGATTTTCTTCCATATTAATGTGAACAAATATAAACAAACATAGAATGATTCTATTGGTTGAGTCAACAATTTCAGTTATTAGGGAGGTTAAGATCGCACTATTTTGATGAACGTACACATGGAATGTGTAAACTTATGGTCCCCCATTCACGGTGTTATAGCATGACGGTTACATCAAGGCGATTTGCAAAATTTTGCGGTAACGATAACAAAAAATGGCGGATGGGAAAGGCAGCATGTCCTCTTTCTCGCCTGTAGGCAATATTCACAGATAAGATTTCCTTTTAAACTAGTTCCATTCGGTGACGTATATATGGATGGTTATAAAGACTGGGTCAAATCTGCCAGATGGTCTACAAGAAACAGAATATAATCTGTAAACCTACCGACTGAGATATCAAAGTTTATAATATTTGGTCCATTCTCGTGTTGTCTCAGTACATGAGCCACTCAAAATATTAACTGTAAGTATAAGTAAACTGTGTATAACTACTGCAAATTCAAAATACATTATTATGGCTTGAGTAGAACATATTAGGTGGTTTCCAATGCTCAATTGGCTTTGTATGATGGTATGTAGGTTACATCTATATACCACAAGGTTTTTAGGCAATGTAGACCATGCCCTAACAACAAAAACAAAAATAAAAAATTACTAACTTTTTGTGTAGTTTTGAATTTCAAACTCGACAGTTTTTCTCTTATTTCATGTTATCCCCGGGCATCAATTTGCAAAGGCTACGTTCAAAATATACATTACTGAAAGTATCACCGAATGCGATTCTTACATAAATCGTTCATCCTTTCATTGATACACAGAAGTAGAAAATAATGCGCCAACCTTAGTTTTCTCTTCCATCGCGGCCATTTTATTTGATAAATCAGTGAACGTAGCTGTCCAACCTCGTTTTCAGAGGTGGCGTAACCGTCATGCTATAACACCGTGCTATTGACTATTTTCACATCACTGGCCTCTTTTTGCCTTAATGATATAATGCCAATTGATGTAATGGTCCCAAGTTAAACCAGTTGAGAGATGGACAACATTACTGGGGGTCATAACAGTACTCGTTCATGTTCAAGTTCTCACACAAGTGTTTTACACAGTCTGTAGCCAGCTTTTACCAAGGGATAGGAGCAGTTTTACCAAGGGCAAAGCTTTTGCCTAGGGATGAACCTTTTGACAGTTTTGGCTAAAAAATCATGCGAAGTGCTCAGATTGGTGAGAAACTGCATCATTTTGAAAGAATCTGGGGGAGCAGCAGCTCTCTTTATCTCTCCCCCTCTACCTGGCTAATTTTCACATTTTTTATATTTCTACTATTCAAATTGACCAATCCCCATTCATGTCATTTTAACAGGTCCCTTCATTACTTTACACCAGTGTTCATTAATCCCTTGTTTTCTAGTCGTATGTGCTTTTATTATTCAGTTTCACTATCTATTGTTTTGCCATGCCAGTTTTACATGTTTGCATGCTGAGTTTGTTTTATGTAATGTTTTTTGTTCCTTATATGGTTTACACATTCACTCAGTTGAGTTGGGGTGTTGCCCCATTACTAGTTAATGTTGCCTAGAGTTTGTGACTGTACATACACAAAGTATTTCAAATATATATTTTAGAAAACATTTTATATTTGATTCCCACCCAAGGGTCTTCCACTCACCCATTAACATAAACAAAACATGAACTCTAATAAAAATGCCAACAAGACTGCAAGGGAAACTTAATCTATGAATTGGACTTTGCAATATCACATGTATTAGTCCCGTGACCAGGGAGGGGGTGGAGGGGGGTTGAGAGACGACCCTCTCCCCTAGGCACATTTTCTGTCAACATCCTGCAATTTTTCACCACTTTAGTACTTTTCAAGTGATGTTCGGATGATGCTTTCATTTAATTGCTTGCACTGATGGTTTCTCTTGAAAATTCATGCACATAAGGTGATCTAGTATTTCAACACAGGACCCTGAAAGCGCTATTTGAGCTTGAAGTAGAAGTATTCATAGTATTACTGTTTGTATTATTAATCTCTATGATTTTTCAATAGGCTTTTCAATAGGCTTTCAACTCAGTCAGTGAATGCAGGATTAAAACACAACACACATGAGTAATTCACCCACCTATGCATGTTATTATTGAAAAACATTGCCATCTTTTACATCACTCCTAAATTATTTTTGTAAACATGCATTTTAAGAGGTTCATTTTTTCAAAAAAAAACTCAAAAACAAACTTCATGGAGTTCCTTACATATTTTACTTGATGAAACATATGTTCAAGTACAATGTAACTTTGCATGAAAAATTGTAAAAAAAATGAGGGACGATGGTGAAAATGACGAATGTATTTTGAAAAAGCTTGTTGATGGGTGGATTAAACATGGATTATAAGATAATTCAATTGATCTGGAAACTATTCTTTGAACTTTTCTTGAAGATTATAGATTCGCCTTTCCCAAGCATTTACTTTTTACAGCCAGAAACTACTCACAAAAAAATTATCAACTGTCAAAATTATCAAAAGTCTGTTGCGATACTTTCCCTGCTCCTTTTCGCAATTTTTTTCCTTAATTACAATAGGTCGAAAATTGATGATAAATTTGATGAATGAAACTTATGGAGGGGAGTTGTATACAAATTGAAATATGCCCAGTAATCTGTCCAATACAAGAAAGAGATATTTCCCTTTTTGTGATTTTATAACATGGGGTCTATATCTCTTTCACTGTATTTTCAATTTTAACGACATAAATCAAGAATATTCTTGTATTTAGTCTAAACAATTAAAACTAGTCATGTGGGACGTTTTATCTGGCTCATTTTTTCAAGAGTCGTCACATATACAGAGTAAAAAAAACGCCACTTTATTTTCAAAATGCTATAACTTTTTTAATGTTTGATATTAAATCATAATTTGCATACCAAATGAAACCTGAGGTTGTTATCTAGCCATTGATCATGAATTATACACTTTTACTTGAATAAAATATGTCACCTGCGTCTCACTTAAACATGTGGTGTGCCATGAGAAATAAGCATAATTTGCAAAATGTTCCTGAACTGATACGGCCTGATGATCGCCCAGCTAATAGCCCTGATGCAAACCCAAGTGAGTATAGGGTATGGGAAGGTCTCCAGGAGATTGTGTGAAGGTACCCAATCTAGAAAATTGCTCAACTAAAGCTGGAATTTAGACAGGTTGGAAAAAACTTAGCTAACATTTCATTAATACTGCAATACTAGCAAGGCGACTAAAACTAAAATATATCATCAATTAGGGTGGCGGACCAATTGAACTCCCCTTTTAGATCAAATATAATCCAAGTTGAAGGACTTGTTACATTATATTATTACTGAGAACCCTTGGCACTATATAACTGCAAAATTTTGGGTATGTAGGTTGGAAAATAAAAAAGTTGTAGTGTCTTGAAAAAAAAGTGGCGTTTTTTTAGGCCCACCCTGTATATTATCAGCTACTATACCTGATATCATTAACGTTCCAAATTAATTAACCAAATATAAGATCTATAATTAAATTGATTATATATGTTGATACATGATGTTTTATCAACTAATAATTCCTCTCTTTTCAACTTCAACTTGACTTTAAATTAACTTATAAACGTTAAAATCCATCATTTGTATTATCTCTCGAAAGAGACATGTTCAGATCACTGTTTCTGGTAAATTCTGGTGCAGATTACATCACCTACGGTCATTACCTGAAAGTAGACAATTACGTCTAATTAGCTAAAACAAACAATGCGCTGCTATGGAAATTTTAACTTAGCCACGCCACACTTACCCTGCGTGCAGAGTCTAGTTAAACTACAAAGCTCTCTTTTAAGAAGCGAAGTCAAACAAATGCAAAGGGTACACTGAGGTATGATATTAATGTTTATCGTATAATATTTTGAAATGAATCCCTCTAATTGGTCAAAACTCACCTTTTAAATCCGCCGAAGCCTTAAACTGAGACATTGCAATGGCCACTACATGAGGAGTCGATTTTTACCTAAATATATAATTATAACGTTCTTACCACGTGGAGTTCTCCATTTATAAGCGTCCGGGTGGTTTTCTGTGACTTAACGCTTCCGTCTATAGGCGTCAGTGTTAGGACCATTGTTTCTCCTTCCCATATAGCCAAACACTGTAAAATGCGATAACATGTGAGGAACACGGGGAGAAACCAATAGCATAACAAGTATCAACAATGTTTTGAACGTATTTCCACGAAAGAACGGCTGACTAAGGACGCAATTCGGTCGGATGTCTGCGAACAGAAGTAATGGGGGAGGGGTGATACATCTTGAGAGATACCTTTTAAAAGTTCCCAAAATATCTGTATTCTTATGAAGACGACGATTACAGCAATCATCAAGAGCCGGGAGAATCGAATAGAGTGAGTGGCGGCAAACTGGTAGAATTACAAACGTATACCTTTTGTTGGACGCCATTACTTTTCTGCTGGAATTCCTCCCCAATCTTGAATTTAGTCTCCGTGTCCCAAAAACCAGTTATCGTTTTCAGTGTGATTTCGTCGCTGTTGAGGGAGATTTCTTGTAGGGGATTAGATCGACCTGCCATCTTTCGGGCAATTAAATTAACACCTTAACAAGATTGAAATGTATAGTACTGCAGCTATGTGAAAATACTATTTGTTCACCTGCTATCTGCTATAGTACGAAACTTCGATAAAAATGGGGCACGGGGCAAGAAGGGATCCTCGGATTTTATCAAAGGTTTGTAAAGATTGCAGCGTTTGTCAATTTTGTTATCCAAGGTCGCGTCGTCGGACGCCATCTTGAAAAACTGCAGACGCCAGAAACGTATTGGAACAAACTTGGAGGTATATTATTTATGAAACACATTCGAATCTCTGCTTTTGATAGAATTCAGAACGACCCGGGGCTTCTTAGAAAAGTGTAAAACAAATATGGCTGACGCTCCAAATGTATTTTAACAGTATGAGTTAGTGTTAAAATTTCAAAAATCATTTTATATTTGGGAAACGAAAAAGAGTTGAAATACTAGGGTCCCGTTTTGCCCCGATCTCCACTAAAAGTATTACACATTATAATTGATATTAATGGTAAGATATATATCACACAAACAGTGTAGTCTATTTTAATCAATAGAGTCTAGAATGTATTTTAAAAGTTATAGTATATTCAATTACCAAGTTCTCTTAGAAAATCCTCAAAGTTTTCACTTTTCGTCAATTTCCAGGTGCCTGCCATGCCATATAATGTATCCGCCATTTTCTAAAAGTCTGGTGTCGAAAACTGGAAATTTCACCTGTTAAGGCTCTAAAAGAAGTCTGTGTGTGAAATGTATGTCTCTGGTACTATTGAATGTTGCTCCGAATGTACATGGCGGGGTGACCCAAAATTGCCACCACGCTCATAACTTTGAACCATATTGTTCTTCGAACGCAGGGCACCAAACATCATTCACTCTGCTCCTTCCTTCTTGTCTGAAGCCCTGCGTTTTTAGGTTGTTGAATCTACAGGATGGCACAATTGAACTTCAGTCCATATCAATCCTGACAAGTTTGTGTTGTAAAGTAAATTAATTTGTTTTCTGTAAATCCGAGAGCCATTTTTGGTGTCACCTTGTACTACGCGTCTTCAACGTATACTATATGTACTTTCTAAATTAATATTAAATGAATACGGTTAATTAATGGTAGTGTTTATCTATCAATTATAATTAAATCATAAGGACATGGGGATCTTTCAACGCCACATTGGCATCCTCTTATCATCTCACTTCAACCTACTTTAGTACACGATCTTTGACATTAGAATTCGTACTCAGATTTCGGTTTATTATGTCAACACCGAAAGTGGTGACGTATCTTTATAGTCCAGTTTTTGAGGACGGCGGTTGGTGTTCGGCGTCTGTAACAAATGGCAAGTGGTGACATTTTGCAAGTTCATGCCATGTAAATTCCTTAATCTTTTGATAATTGAGACGATTTTTGTCATGTCATGGGAAGTTATCGTCACACGTCATTGTAATAATAGGGAGGTTAAGTTACACGTTTTTAAGAGAACATGTACACGAGCGTGTAATATTTCGATCCCCGGGGATTACTGCTCCGCTTTCAATTCACTTTACCAGGGACCAACATGTAATTATTAATACCCCTATTGCAAGGGGTCGCGTGTTACATCATACTTACATGTACCAAAGTATGTGTTTATTGTGCACTCATTTGCAAAATGTAGATTACATTTGCAAAATGGTGATTGTTTGTTGAATCAAGGTGCAAAGGGTAGTTGAGATACATTAGTGTATAACTGGCCAAAGATCAGAATAATAAAATTAAGGTTATAGTACTTTAGTATTTAGTCTGTAAAATTTCAAAATACGTTAATATAAGTATTTGTGGCATGGTTAATCATTCATTTACTTGTTGCATTAACTTTGAATAAGAAATTTTACCTTTAACCTTATATCGTGGAGGTACAATAAAACAGGGGAGAAGCAAATCCTACCGAACAAAGTATATTTTATCAAAACGCTCATCAGTTTGGATTATGTATTGTCTCATTAATCAAAACTCATGATATGCCACCCATTTAAAGCAATAGTCATGGCCATTTTGGATTCAGTAGCCATCTTGAGAGGTCCAATTCCCATTGACAATGATTCAGTCATCCTATTTTTGAACCAAATGCGTCAATGGTATCTGAGTTATCGAACTGACAGACAAATGGCTTTTCTCAATCCCTTCCAAACTACTTTCGGTAAGGTAGTTAATTACTGGTATTAAACTTATTTTTGACTTTTGTAGGGCAAGCGCAAAACTTAACACTAGACATTATGCCTAGGTCACATTTGCTCCGATTCATCGGCCGGCGCTCGGCCAATTAATGACCAAACATTTGAGATTTCACCTTCAAATTTGAACAAAATAATGAAACAGTCGTGTGCCAGCCCATGAATGGGAGCAAATATGACTGAAGCATTACAGTCAGTAGAAGTGAGTAATTAGTAAGGTAGAATGTCTGCTCATTGTCTTCCATGAAATTTTATACTCCATTTGTATTCTGGATGCTCATTGGCTCATTTATGGTCAGGTGATATGAAATAGATGGGTTTATCCAATGGAAATCACAACTCACTGGTCGAAGGGAAGATAAAAAGTACCAATGATTTCCCTTCTTCAATTTAGCAGGGATTATAAGAATTTAAAGGCCAATGCCTTTAATGCCTATAAGGTCGTCTTTACAAAATTAAATGTTGCTAATGCTTATAATAAATAAACAATCACTAAAAAGTATTTTTGTGGTATTGTTTGTATGTTTATTTCATATTTATTCATAACATCCCACATTTCAATCACCACTATTTGGTAAATATATGACCTTGAACTTGACACCATGACTTATTTTAAATGACCTTTCAGTTCAAGGTCAAAATGATGCACAATGATATTCTAATCACAATTTCTACACAATTTAATACAAATAAAATAATTGTACACCCACCAAACTCATTGCGACTGTAAAAAGTAATTTTTCTAATTCAATATCAAATAACATGATAAACGATGGCAATTCTTTTAATGAAATATCACAGATGTACTAGTCTACAATGATCCAATGTAATGAATAAAAAGTAGATAAAGGACGTCAATCCAATGTCTTAAAACTTCCAGTATTTTCAAGCGTGCGTATGTATAATAATCCAATCCTCACTAAAACATGTATATTAATATTCTTGTAGGTTTTGACTTATATTATTGTTTATCTCTGTACTGCATACATGGAACTATTTACAAAGACTGGCGTATTAATATTTGTGGTCAGCAACAAAGAGTGATGCGCCAGCCGCTGCACCTTCTAATCCACCACTGTACTGCCCCAAAGCAGCTAGTCCATTTGCCTGAAAATAAATTAAAACACATTAAGACATGTAAATATTTGTACATTACTTATAAAGGATTAATAAATTAAAAACTGGAGTTACATTAAATTAAGTATTTCATAATCAAATCTTAATTTCTAAATTACAAACTTATTTTCAAAGGCAAAAAAATATTGACAATTAATAATGATTACATAACAAACTATCTAGACTCAGCTATAATTCAATTCAAATCAATTTCCATTCATCTTGTCATAAAAATAAGGCTTTCATATAGTAGAAATGACACCAGATGCCGACATCTATTGTGTCAAAATATGCGTGAGGATGTCAAAGACTGAAGATTTATTGCTATGGATACATAGCGATAAAAGAGGACTTCAGCTAGGAAATGTTAGGTTGAAAGAAGTTGGAAGGCAGATTATTTTAAGTAGAAAGCAAACCATAACCTAGCCTTACTAGCGTAAAATCCACTAAATATTTGAATTATATTTGATAAAAAGCATGTGCAATTCATTTAAAGGTGATCATAAAAAATAACCCCAAGACTCCCAGAAGTGTTAAACCTAAGTGTCTTAACTACAAAGTCCTTAAATACTCATTATCTCCAGATGTTTATCTTTGATAACTTGAGGGAAGATGTCCACATGTTGACAGTTACTGTCGAAAAAACTTTATTCCATTTTGGTTTAACATTGTGTGACATGATACGACACATCTATGATAGATTTTGTGACACATCTATGATAGTATGTGACACCATGTAACATCATGTGACATATCTTTAATAGATTGTGACATCATGTGACATATCTATGACAGATTGTGACATCATGTGACATATCTATAATAGATTGTGACATCATGTGACATATCTATGATAGATTGTGACATCATGTGACATATCTATGATAGTATGTAACACCATGTGACATATCTATGATAGATTGTGACATCATGTGACATATCTATGATAGATTGCGACATCAGTTGACATATCTATGATAGATTCTGACATCATGTGGCATATCTATGATAGTATGTGACACCATGTGACATATATATGATGACTTTAATAAAAGAGAAACATCTTTTAGGGAAATACCTAGCAACTGTTCACTATATTTAGTTGAGTTACCTATGACTTAGTATTTATGTACTGCGACAAAGTTAATTTTATCGGCTGCGACACTCTTTATCGAGCCAGCGACATACTGACCCAAGCAGGCGGCACCATTGGCCTATATAGATGATAGCAATAATGTTAGAGCTATTCAAAGCACATGCAATGATCAGAGCAAATAAAAGAAGAGATGCCTGCACAACACGGTCGCAAATTGGGCAAAGTGAGTGGAGAGGAGGAGGTGATTGCTGCTAGTATATTCAACATATCTGCAAGTTTTATTTTTTCATGTTCAGTTTTCTACAATTCTTCTTCAGATATCTCCTTCTCCCCCTCCACTCATTTTGTCCAATTTACTGTTCTGATTGTACTTGGCGCAGGCAGCAATATTAGCCTAAACACATATGATAAGTACAGCATTAATATACAGGGGTTTCATTAGCAACAGGCAACAGGCGATTTTCACCATTGTTTTCACAAAATCTCCTATTGTTTTTAGGGACTTTTCAACTTTCCATGCTAAATTTATAATTTCCACTAATTTTAGCTATTTATCATTTATTTAGCCTGTTGTGAGAAATTCTAGTGAAACCCCTGACAGAGCAATTGAAAGCACACATGCATCGGAGCAACTACATAATTCACCTGCATGAATATGGTATTACATAGTTAGTACTAACAATAGGAAATATAAAAACAAGAAGATTAAATCTGCTAGTGTGGTGAACAGTTGGTCAGGCACAGCAACAACATAATGCACATATTAATTAAAAGCAATATTCTAAATAAATTATAATTAGTCAAATAAAATAGATACTGGAGAGGTTAAGCTAACGATGTTTTTCACAACGTAACCGTGAACGCAAAGAACAAAAATTAACAAAGGAATGTATCGAGCGCTCATAGTTTTATGCGCGCTTAGTCTACTTCAGATACTCTTTCAGCATCAGAGTTTCGGGTTTAGAACGGGATCAGAGGTGGCGTTAACGCAATTTTTTACGTTTTTTACTCACATTTTTGCAACTCTGACGCAAATATTCATTGTCTACCGAGTCTTTCTGACGCACGTTTGTTTCACATGCAAAATCCCCGCTTGGTACTTGGTTAAATTGATCCCTATACGTGAAAATACGTGATTGATCAAATTTATAATTTTGCTAATTCCGGAAATCTAACATTTCGTTCAGCGCAATCGAGCCTCCTTCCTACCGATCATTTTCTTATTTCGGTATTTCATATAATTTTTAAAGCCCTGTGATTCAGATTCAATGATAAACTTGAAAACATTGATCGATCCCTCGATTTGTTTATCTCGTGTGCTAGGGGGCGTATCAAAAATGCAATAAAACGAACATAACATTGAACAATAATTTATTAATTTCATACTCCCTTCTAAGGATTTTAGTGATCGTATATTTATCTAAATTACCGCATAAAATCTTTCCTTGAATGTTCACACGCTAGATTTACGAACCTTTAGTTTCCTTCGCAAGTTCGCAAAATTCCTTCGCTAAGTTAGCAAGTTTCCTTGAGCCGTCCCCTTCATCAGCATGCGCAGATGTAATGCGCAGTAGGTTTATCAATGGTGCTCACAGTGACCGATCTATCGTAAGTTTTCACAAAGTATTTTCAATTAACTCCCTCAAGTTAAGATCTTCGATTCACTAGATCTGAAGCTGATCCTATGAAGATAGATAATGGGCACATGAAAATCCAGTCGATCGCACATTAAGGGGGGTAATGATGATAAATTAGGTATGAAAACAAATCTACTTTCGGTTTCATTTTATAATTACAAGATTCTACCGTATTCAATTTAAATGATGCCCAGTATTGTGGTCGGACTTATATTGCCGTTTTAGACTTTGGAATGATTGCAAAAATGTTGAATTTCAACATGAAACGCTTTGACCCCAATTTGTGTAACTCCACACAGGGAGAAACTCCTCTCCCACTCCATTCACACCCATGACCCGCTGGACCAGATAATCAGATGATTAATAGTGACATTTTTCTTGCAATTGCCTAATTAATTAATTGTTAGTTGTTAATGTGCTATAAGAGTACAATAAAAGGTATGCACAAAATCAAAAAATAGATTTTGTATGTGGTTTCTACATTTTGTATGCATTTTTACTCAAGAAAAACACTTTTATAGCTTTGACTCAACTTTTTTTCTTGTGACTCACTTTTTTGAAACTACCTGAGTCATGATGACTCACAAAAATATATGCCTACCGCCACCGCTGGGGATAATTTGAAATTTGACGTTGGGTCAACGGGAACCATTTTACTCGTGTCTATTGAACACTATGCTGTCAATTTTGATTTCGATACACAGTTGAATTCTTGCTGAACACGATGATGTATGTCATGCATGATTTAGCGCCAAAAATCTTACGAAACGAGCTCGTTTAAAATATGTATTAGAAAACCAGCCATAAAACCGCATCAATGACATACTATAGAATCATTACACACTATGGTGTAGTCTAAACAAACACTGGATTTGAACGGCTATTTATATGAGAAGGCTACATGAATTTGTATATGGTCGAGTGATACGTACAGGTTCAGTTTCGATTATATATGCAAAGCTTAACCTCTCCATTAAATTCACTCATTTCCAAGACTAGAGTGAAGTTAATCAAGGCACAGCAACAACATAATGCACATATTAATCAGAAGCAATATTCTAATTAATCATACTTAGTCTTAAGAGAAAATAAATGTTAAAGGTGAAGTCTATCAAGGCTATAATACAGAGGTGATGGTGATACGAGAAGGGGAACCCACATTCACAAATCACTTGATATCACCAGCCGAAAAGGAGAAATGCATGGATGTAGCCAGCTGTGAGGCAGTCGAGGCAAGTGCCTCAACAAAATTCAATAGGAAATTTTTTTGTGGATTTTTAAATTCAATTGACTATTTCAAAATTAAATATTATGATAGTATTATTTAACTGCCCCACCAAAATTCTATAGGAAAACTTTTGTTTGTGATGTTCTTTCAGTTGAATATTTGAAGATTTTTATATTCTGATAGTATTATTTTTCTTTTAACTCAAATTTGCCTCATTAATTTACATTTGCCTCACCTATTTTGAAATTTGCCTCACCTATTTGGAAATTTTGCCTCACTTATTTCAGGTCATGGCTAAGCTCGGATAATGCCTTGATGAAATTCACTTTTTAAGTAAAAGCTATGGTAAAGAAAATAAAGACAGTATATTATGAAAAGATGTCTGCAGTAGTACAGGGTGTCCAAAACATGTATTATTTGGAGTCAATCATACAGGGTGGCTCACAAAAGCATTAACATGCAAAATGTCACCACCTGCCATTTGTTACAGATGCTGAATGCCGAATGCCACACTCTAACCACCCTCACAAAAATGGAGACCATAACAATATGTCACCACTTTTGGTGGTGACATAAAAATGAGATGACAAATCAATTTGTTGGAACACCCTGTACCTGTATATTAATTAAACATAGAATAAGCAACTGATATTAATACATATTATCAACTACATAAGCAGTATTGGATGAATATACATGCATCAAGTTTCTGGCAATATCCCAGATCAACCGCAAATTTCTTCCGTGAATGTACTTATCGTCATTCGTGCAAATATTTTTTTTTAAAGTTGGATGATTGTAGTAAGCATTTCAATTCAAATAAGAAGATAATAGAAGTCCCCGTTTTATTTACATTAACTTCATTTTTGAAAATAATTTGACAATCAAAAGAGTTCAAAATATAAATGTTAAATAAATATGCTTGACAATTTGATACATTCATTGAAAGGTCTACAGTTTCTAGATACCCGATTACATTATGTATCCATAACGGAATATGGTCGATGTACCTATATTTCTTATTTAATAAGTATGTTTAGCGACAAATAGCGATGAATCTGCACTAGCGCTCACGATCGACCCGGCTTCATACTGTCCCATGCAAGCCAAACCATTCGCCTAAAATAGAACATAACTTAGCATACAAATCACAACTTAGTAAATAAATACAGACTTAGTAAACAAATGCAGTAAACAAATACAGATTTCATAAACAAAAACAAATACAATCTTAAGGAAGGCAGCTAAAATGCAAACTGATGTCATATTTTGCATACTGATGTCATCCTTTGCAAACTGATGTCATCTTTTGCAAACTGATGTCATCTTTATGATGTGATAGCATCCTCCACAGCACTTTTTCTAAACTCATTAGAAAATTCCCATTTCATCAATTCTGCCCAAATACGGTCATAATTATTTACTGATTTTTCAAATGGTCAAGTGGGTGCATTCTATTCTCAAATCGGTGCCAGTCAAATTGCAAAATCTCAAGTGGGTGATTAAATGCTGTGGAGTTCACTGTGATGACTATTGACTAAAATGATGAAATGATTTCAATGTTCATATTTCAGTCAATCTGTTTTGCTAATTTGATATCATATGACATGATGCATGAATAGTGAATTTTGCGACTATAAATATATGAGTAAGTAAAGCATCTTACATTTAATCTAATTCTAAGGATATAACTGATTCTCAAACAAAAATCATGCATGAATCTTTGAACTTAGAATGCAAATACATACATATTTTAAGTAAATATAAAGTTAACAACACTGTTAATTGGTTGTAAGCTATTTAACTATAAACTTTAACATTCAGTCAGTAAAACAATCAGCTTCAAAATCAAATACTAACACATCAGGCCCGTAGCCAAGGGGTTTCAGTGAAACCCTCTGGCCAAAAAATGCCTTCAAATCGAGCCAGTTTTCACCATTTTGAGCACTTTTCGAGTGATTGTGGGCCAAAATTTTAAAATTTAAACCCTCCCCTGCAATTTTTAAAAAAAACTGAACCTCAACCCTCTTGGCAAAAGCTGGCTACGGGCGTGTGCATACATATAGAGCCAGGGATTTCATCAGCAATTTAGTACCAGGCAACATGATTTGCTTACCAAATATCTAAAATGATAATTTTCTATTTCTTTGTCTGTTCCTTTTTTATCGATTTGGCTGTTGTCATAAATTCTATTGAAACCCCTAGAGGCCATACACAACATGGGATAGAGTGTCCTAGAGTCAGTTTAAATCTGAATTTGAGTTAATATCAGGAACCAAAAGCATTCTTGGTACAAGAATGTAAGTCCATTTCTCCTTACTCTAGGACCAACTAAATATCACACAAAGGTTTATTGCTACTGACCTTGGCTCTCTTGGCAAGCTCATCCTGGGCTGCTTTTACATTCTCTGCCTTTCCTCCCCATGCTCTGAGTACGGAGGCTTGAAGGGCACGGCCGAAGCTGAAGGTAAGAGCCCATGGTTTGCGACCAGGGGTTTTATTGATCTCATTTAGATTGACGGAGGCATCTTCTTCTGATTGACCACCAGACAAGAAGGTGATACCTGAAAAGTGAAAGTTGGACATTACAGTAAAACCTGTAAAGTAGACCACCCACTTATATGTCAAACTGACATTACAGTAAAACCTGTAGAGTAGACCACCCACTTATATGTCAAACTGACATTACAGTAAAACCTGTAAAGTAGACCACCCACTTATATGTCAAACTGACATTACAGTAAAACCTGTAAAGTAGACCACCCAGTTATATGTCAAACTGACATTACCTTGTCAGGAATTGCAAATGGTTACCAAAGTTTAACGATTTGTTTGCCACTGATGCTGACTAGATCGCAAATGGTTGTGGTGATATAACAATGGTATATATTGAGCCAAATCATCTGTTTAGAGACAGAAAGTTAATACAGGGTGTTCAAAAAAAAACGCAACCCAAAGAAATCGCAATATCTTGGAAAATACTAATCCAATTATGTTCATATTTTCAGGAAAGAAAGAAGAGACTGTGTATGTATAGCCCCTGTTGTTAGTTAGTTGTAAAACATGATATCTTGGACACTTTCTCAAAAGACAGTTGCACTAGCAAAATATGAAAAACGTGAATGGAAAATCACTATATCTTGGAAAATATTAATTCAATTATGTTCATTTTTTCAGGAAAAGAAAGAAGAGACTGTGTATGTATAGCTCCTGTTGTCAGTAAGTTATAAAACATGATGTCTTGGACACTTGCTCAAATGACAGTTGTACTAGGAAAATATGAAAACGCAGTCAGCGGTGACTGCCACAGCAATAAAACCAAATAACTTTCTAACCATGGTGTTTTGGCACTTCAGATTTGGCACAAATTATCCTCATTCAATGTGTAGTGAATTTGTGGAGTTTCATCAAAATCAATCCAGGGACTTTACAATCATGGTCAAAATGGCTTCTTAAGTCTCCCTGAACCAGGGCGTTTGACTGTGATTTGAAAGCATTTCAACCATAACTGTAAAGTCCCTGAAGTGATTTTGATTTCACTCAACAGATTTACCCTACAATGAATGAAGATGATTTGTGCCAAATTTGAAGAGCCAAAACACTATGGTTAGGAAGTTATTTAATTTTTTCGCGGTTGCTGTCACCCCTGACTGCGTTTTTCGTATTTTCCTCATACAACTGTCTTTTGAACAGGTGTCCAAGGCATCATGTTTTACAACTAACCATTTACAGGAGCTGTTCATACAGTCTTCTCTTTATTTCCTGAAAATATGAACATAATTGAACCAGTATTTTTCAAGATATAGCGATTTCTTTGGGTTGCGTTTTTTTTAACACCCTGTACCTAAAAAACAAGTTCCTTTTTTCTATAGCCAAGTCTATCAGGGATTTCATTTCATTTTACCCGTTGTTTTCACAAAATCGCTTGTTGTCTTTAAAGACTTTTCAACTTTTCCATATTAAATCTAAGACTTTCATTAATTTTGCCTGTTGTTTTCATTTATTTAGCATGTTGTGAAAAATTTTAATGAAACCCATAATTATTCAAACGATCAAATTAACATTTAATTAATGAAATATAGTAAAAAAATCTTTTTTCCACAGTACCTGGAACGGCAGCTGGGACCGTCCTCTGGAGTGCAGTGACTGTTGCCTGGGAGTTCTCCTGGGGAGTATAGCGTTTGGCACAAGCTTGCCCCGCTGTCACCATGTTAGGTTTCAACAAGGTTCCCTCTAGGTACACGTGGTGATCAGCTAGAGCTTTGTATGTGAATGCCAGCACCTGCAATGGCAAAATTCATGCTACCATTAAAAAAACAGGGAAGACTTATGAATCTGATATAGCCTACAATTTGGTTGCGAGTCATTAGGCATCATCCAGCAGTATACAATGCTTCTCTTGCTATATGAGTAACAATAACCAAAAACAGACCCCTGATTAATAAAGTATACATTTCATTGGTTATCACACATATTACCTTCTTGCAGTATAACAATCATATTCTTTGTTTGATCCCACCTCAGAACCCTAACCCTATCAATCTTTTCCCCAACAGCTAGAGTGCTTACACCTTCAAATAGCACTTAAAGATGACATTAAAGATTTTTATCTATACATACATTATTATGAAAAAATATTAAATATAAAATATGACAACATAGAAAACATTATTTGCTGCATTTGCCATACCTGTTCAGTGACTTTCTGTGCAGTTAATAAATCGTGATCTCCATCGGGCAATACTTCTGGTTCAACAATGGGTACCAATCCATTCTGGAAAATATATATAAATATGTATAAATCATGGTCACCATCAGTTTTCCTGATAAATATATACAGTAAAACCAGTATAAAAAACATCTTTAGCATATTGGGAGGTGTTCAATTTGTTGATAGCAACATTCCTTATTTTATTTTCTGAAAAAAGAATTGAGATAACTCATCACATAACTCATTGTCTTTATTGTTTCTTAAATTATCTGACAGAGCCTTAATTAACATGCTGTTCTCATTTATTTTGAATATTGGCAGAAATCCTAATGGAGTGATCTCCCCAGGATTTTTACTCTGGTGGGTGCAAATTTCTCATTTTCACAATTCAAACCAAAATTAGTCAAAATGTGCCAATTTTTCATGATTTTTCTCATTTTCAAGTGGGTGCAAATGGATTTTCAGGTGGGTGCAAGCCTATTTTGAAAATCATAAGTGGGTGCTGCACCCACTTGCTTAAATGCTGGGAAGATCACTGTGATATGTCATATTTGTCCAGGGAATGTACCTACCTGTTGGCAAATACTGGCGTAACGTGCAAGAACATTTGCATTCTCCATCATTGACTGGTATGACGGGGTATGGGAGCTGATCTTCAATACGCATCTCCACTTGGCAAAGTCACAGCCATCTTTTTTATATTGTGCACATCTCTCTGCTAGGCCATCAAGACCTGGTAAAAGGAGGACATACAATTAGATGCAGAATTAACTAACAAAATCAACTAGGCCTATGGAATATGTGTACAAACACTGATGTATTTAACACACAGTGTCTATTTGGCCATTTAGACTAGACTGAGCAATATTTCTATAGAGGGCATAACCTCTCAATCTGTCAATGGATATTGATGAGAGCATTTCCCACAGCCCATATGGAATAGGGGTCAAACGGTTCAAAATTCCAACGGTTCGGTTCGGTCACGGTTTTTAGGTTCACGGTTCGGTTCTTTCACGGTTCTCGCGGGTCTCGTAAAATGGTAATATTTCCTTATAAAATAGTAAAGACAGCTCATAAAGAAACAGGTTTTAGCTTTCTATCTAGCCTTGCCCATGTTGGCCACTTTCTATCCTGGTCCCACTATCCTTTTTTATTAAATTGACTTGACAAAGCAAAGTTTATTGGGCTAGTGGCCAACTTTAAATTTTAAACTTTAGATTTTTCTGTCCTTGATTGTATTAAGAGCTGAGATCTACATGTAGCACAAGCAGTAACATAGCCCCGGGAACATGCATATAAAGATCGAGTCGAATACACCAAGTAAAGAGATCTCTTTACTTGGTGTATTCAACTCATCTTTTTTATTATACATTTTCCCAGACCTATGTCTTAACTTACTTGAGGAAAAAATTTAGCCTAAGAAAATATTTTTCTCACTGTGAAGATACTAATGATCTCCCTACAGATTCTGCATATTGATACATTGTCCTCTGATTACCCATTCCAAACTATGCGTTGCTTTTGTATTTCAATAATTGAGATTTAATCTTGCAATTCTTGTAGTCTGTCAAAGCAGTCATGCTGAATCAGCACAGATGGCGCTGCGATTGTGCGGGAGATTTAAACACAAATATGTTTCAAGTTTTTAACAAAGACATTAGTAATGTTATAATTTCTGTAATTGTAGTATTTTTTAAATAATATTGATTAAAAACCAACTTATTATAACAGACAAAACACCTCCACGAAGCAAAATTAATTATACTATGAATAGCGTAATCTGGCGAGACCAACTTCCGGTCTATTTAAATGTCACAAAAATGTAAACAATTACTTGTCTATCGATTTGTGAGCGATCTGTTTCACATCTAAGGTAGGAATTGAATGTTTTCTATTGCTATAAACATGTTTTTAAGGAATATATTCATGAAGAATAAGTTCATGTCGAACGAAAGAGAGAATATTGAAGACTAAAAAATTTTATTTTTCAATTTCTCCTCGAACCGTGGATGAACCGAATCTCATATTTATGAACCGAAAATACCGTCCTAGCATCATTAACCGCGGTAACCGCGTACCGCGGTTAACCGTTTGACCCCTAATATGGAATAATGAAATACTTGATTATTATATCATTGCTTGACATTCCTTTGATTATAATCCATGAGCTGTCAAAATGTCATATATGAATAAATAATTCCTCAATGAGATGTGAAATATGTTGTGGTATATTAGTCACATGGTACTATATCAACCAATCAGAATAATAGGGTTCCAGCAATGATGTAATAAGAAATTATTAACCCTGCATGGACCATGTGAATACATTTGATGAAGGAATACTAACACTGCATGGACCATCTGAACACATTTGGATTTAATGAAAAAATACTAATCTTGAATGGACCACATTTGATGAAGAATTACTAACCCTGCATGGATCATATGAATAAATGTGACTAAGAAATACTAACCCTGTGTGGTGCTTTCACCGTCAGTACCAGCGAGAGGAACAACACCCTTGTCGACCTTGATGCCGGGGATGATGCCCTTAGCCTGAAATATCAATGTCACATATCATTCATTTGAGAATATTGTGATCATGCCTTTAGGGGGTACAAGGGCCAATCCGGGGTTCCAACACTTCGCCAATCCAACATGACCTAATTTTTCCACATAACAAGAAAACCAACCCTGTCAGGGAATCGTAAACCTATTTCTATTTTGTTGTGTGAATAATCAAAACTAATGCATTAAATTTCAGGTTTTCTTGAGACCATATTCAACATAAAAGTCGTGTGTGCGTTCATTTGAAGTGTGCACTAATTGGAGAAAATACGGAAGTTAGAAAACTGAAAGGATCCAGACTGTTATTGGTTCACTTACTTTCAATACTTGAGGGAAAGGAGTGCCATCATCAGTCTTCTGGTAGAGAGTTTCATGGAAAAGAATCACTCCACTAATATGTTTGTTAACATCTTCCTGTGCCGCAGTGAACAGAAGCTGTCTGTAAGCACGTCGGTTGTTCTCATTGTTCTCAACATTAATCTGGGCAAACCTCTTGCCAACAGTTCCTGTAATGACATAAAGACAATGAAATATATTATGTATTGACATCAAGAAAATAAAATATGTGATGACATCAAGGTACTGACATCAAATCATGTATATAAATGTGCTGACTTCAAGTCATTAAAACACATGTACATACTGACATCAACTCATTAAATTACATGTAATGACATTGAGTCATTAAATTATATTCACTTTGTTGTTTTGGCTTTCTCCCTTCACTCACTTGATTGAGAAAAAAGCTTTAAAGATGAGAAATCAAAAAAAAAAAATCGTAATTATGTCCATGACATAAAAAAAACATCTTTTCAAAAATGTGAATTTAGACAGGCAACTTAATCCAAAAATTTACAACATAGAATCTCATGTCTTAGAATTCTGATTTTTTACATGTACTCAAAGAGGTATTTACCTGTAGACTCATCAGCGGCTAGAATACCTTTCCCGGGGGCAACGATAGCGTTGGCGATACGGGCAAGTTCTGCCTCCTGATCGGCTGTGAGGTATTGTGGGAATACAGGCATTGTGGGACTGAAATAACAACAATGTAACTTTTGAGTACTATGTGGCATAGGTTTTTTGTAACTTAAAGAGTATTATAGAGCAAAGAGATCAACAGGCCTATATGAGGCAATTTTCTCAAATCTCCTGCTATTTGAGGTATATTTTTGCAATTGTTTTGAACAAAATACTCTTTGGACGGGTGCCCGTGTTGAAAATCGGAGCAAATGTGTCCACGGCATGAATGAATATGTGAGTTACAGCATAATACCGACTTGGTCTGCTAATAATTTAATGCTACTCCAATAATGTTATACAAAAATAAAATAATCATAAAATGTTCCACTTAAAAAGAAAATCCCTCATAAAAAATTTTGGAGAGCACTGTAGTGATTGTTTTCTAAAAAGAGGGGAATATCCCAGAATTCACCCATCTATAGAGATGATTATCTAGACATGAACCTCAAGAGGTTTAGAGGTTCATCTTAACATGGAGATAGGCTCATCTATTAATGCTGGGGTATTTCCTCCTCTTATTTTCAAATAGATCATCCATTTTATATCATCATAGTTGTAGTTTGTATTCCAAGATGCAACATGCAAAATTGCTAAACACACTCACTTCAAGGGCAAATCTAAATGATCCAAACAAGGTGACCTTATTTCCTCACCTAACTTAAGGCCAATGACTTGTTGAAGCCAGCATACATATAACTAACCTTTTCAATGACTTGATTTCATTTGAAAAAAACTTCATTTACGCTATTTGATATCAGCAAGTGAAATCTGGATTCCAAATATTGCATAGTGCTAACTATAGCTATGATAACCCTCAAGACATTAAATATAACTTTCGTTCATTAACTTCAGAGAATAAAGATTTATTTTCGACGGTTTGCTGGTCATCCAACCTGCTTTAAGAACTAAAATTATATTTAATGAACTCAAGTTATATTTCAGTGTTCTCCCCCACTTCACTCATTTTTCAAATCAGAAGTTGAAGTGCAGGGTGCCAACTGGGGGGCCTTTGGTTTCAAGTGGGGGGGGGGGGGGGGGCTGGTAAAAGTGACATGAGGAGATCACTGTATTTAATGTATTACCAGGGAGATGAATCTACATAGAAACCCTCAAGATAGTTTTGTTTTAAAAGTAGATTCCTAGATAATAGGAAAATGTAAACGATGTATAGATGTACACATAGTGAGAGATCAAAGCCCAATATCAATTCCTTTAGTTTTGTAATACAGATTTAATCATAGTATTAGAATGATGTGTACATATACACTCCCCTCCATAAGTTTGAAAGCCAGAAGTCCCCTTTCGGATCACTTATCAGAGCCTGTTAACGATTTGCGATTTAATAGAAATTATCAAATTTGTCATACATTTCTTAACTACTGTAATAAGGTAGAAAATCAAGGTTTTAACATTGATAGGCTTTAATATGCCATCAGATGAAAACAACCAGTTACCAAATTTATGGAGGGGAGTGTATGTACTATGAACCCTTTACAAAACACAACTTAGTGAGATAACATTATTGCAACATCTTAAACACATGCTTGATGGTTAAGTCTACAGAAAGAAACATGTGTTAGTCTAAAAAACATGATTACCTTCATAAGGCCATCCAAAATTAATTGTATATTTGTATGTTTAACGTCAGTCATAAACTATTTTAATAAATATCTCAGATAACATTTTTGTTGCAATTTGCCATTTGGATTATTTCTAACTAAATAATAAGGTCATTACAAAAAATCTTTGTTTACACTGAAAACCTGCCAGTCTTAGAAAAGAGTGGATGTTAAACACATATTTAGGTTGAATGGCCTAATGTTGGTTTTGTTAGTGCCAGGAGGCAGTCTCACTTAACATGCCTCAAGATATAGGGGATTATCTCACAATACTTCATCAACAAATTAATATTTTACATTACATTTGAAAGTACATTGGAACAAAGTAAAATCATGAAAGTTTCAAACAAAAATGATTGGAATAATTTTACAAAAAATATAAGAGTAGGACCCTGTTAATACCATCTTAGATTTAGTCTTCTTAATCTTTTTGACAACATACTTTTCTAAATTATTTTTGGTTTGAATGTGTATTTCAATTAACACTTTCTATACTTTCAACTTCCTTTAATAAGACAAAAAATAGAGCTGTGTACTAAATCACCTCTAAGCTGATATGCATCCCTATGTATGACCCCTTATATTATAGACAATGATGAAATGTTCAAGTAATAAGGACTTTTACAAATTCTTTTCGGATTCAAGTGTCGTTCCAACTTAAATCTCTTCTAAGCTCATATGATCCCTTAATCTTTTAGACAATGATGAAACGTTCAAGTAATAGGGACTTTTACAAATTCTTTTTTGGATTCAAAAGTGTCATTCCAACTTAAATCTCCTCTAAGCTCATATGATCCCTTAATCGTTTAGACAATGATGAAATGTTCAAGTAATAGGGCCTATTACAAATTCTTTTTGGTTTGAAGGTGATATTGGTTCTTGCAGGAACAGATAAGAAACTAGTTTAAACTAACATTTCTCATTTTCTAAATAACTATCATATGGTTGGTATTTTAACTTCTTAACTGATGTACTCTCACTAGTCTCACACCTGGTTTCTGCCCCCCACCCTCTTCCTGTATCAAGAATGGGTAATACACAAAGGCTCTAGCTCTATACAAGAACATCTACATAAAAATAGATTATGTGGACATGAGGGCAGAACTACCCCCTTATCATGCCCAAAACTTTAACTACATCTAGATTTTCATATCACAAGAAATAACCCCCGAAAATTCCAAATCAATCTGTTGACCAGTTTTCAGGATAGGCCTATATGCAAAAAGAATATCTTTATACACCCAACATTCTTTTAGGATGATATTAAACTACTAGAGCCTAAAACATAAATGCCAATTAAGGTTCTTATATGATATCAATTATCAATACCCTAGAATATTCTACATGCAGTTTACTCACAGAAAAGTGAAACCACAAAGCTCACCAAGCCTATGGCAACATGCCCTTCTTTAGGGCATGATGAAAACTAATACCCTCAAAGGTAATGGCTTATATGATATCAATACCCTAATCGACTGCAGAATATTTTACAGTTCATGACTGACAGCTGCCAGAAAAACATCAATGTTTTGGGAAAAATGTCAATGTTTGTCAGCAAAACGTCAATGTTTTCATAAATAAAAGGGTAAAATGATGCTTATATTTGCAGAATATTACGCAAACACCATAGCAACTGTACTTTGAAGATTATCCAACCAAAGGGCAATATTCCAATAATTATTCTGAAAACTCTCCTATTCCTAACCTATAACTGATGTTTTTAATTGAAATGTATATTTCTGAAATCTAGGTTTTAGCAACTTTATAAAGTCCTACCTTGAATCAGAAAAATATATCGATTGAAACAGAATACCATATATATTTAACATATTGACGAGAATATATTTTGGGCCTCTGGGTCGCTTTAACCTCTTGTCAAATTAGGGAAAGAAATTGCAAAAGTTCTTCCTGTGGTTCTACCTATGTAGTTGTTCATAAGTTGTCTGGGATATGAACACAAGCAACACCATGGTAAATGGTAATCAAGACCTGAATCTGCAATGGCTAGTTATCAAATCAATTTATATCAAATTATATCCTTGCAATGCATTGCATGGTCGATAGTAAAGACTATCAACTGCTCTTTGACCAATAGGAATCAAGTATTCCAACTGAGGTGCTAACATTACTGATTATTCACTTGACATTTAGTCATTACAAGGAAAATTGAATCCTAATATCCTACATTTATCTCTCCCAAGAGGAAATACCCCACAATTCATAGATGCACATATCTCCAAGTAAAGATGATAGATGAACTTGGATATTCCTCCTCTTTTCTATTCCTATCACCAGACTGACTCTCGTCCTTAGTCCCCTTTAAAAGTTATATTAAATTTTTCAAATAAGAAGCTACAGATCTACAGGCTTGACACAACATATCAAAAATATCAAAGCACATGATTAGATAGACTCACTATGTGGGGCACCGCCTCTGAGGGACGGCTTTAGTTGACGTCATATTTGTTCTGAAAGAACGAATAAATAGAAAACCGTGATCACCATTAAGCAAACATTAGCATTTTTCACAGCTAATACTTTTGGTAGAATATGACTCCTGATAAAATTTTCGAAATTATATTTTATTTAAAGAACAAACTCAAAGCACAATTATGTAAATTCAAATATCCTAATCATCTTGTTATAAGACTCTAGATATCCAGATTTCTAAATATTTAAAAATGTGAAAGGATACATGTGTAAACGAAGCCTACCTTAGAAAATGAGATCTTGCAATTGCCTATGTGTTTCCCTATACATTCCACAGTAGTAAAAGAATCTAGCAAAGCATGGATCTCAAAGGGATGGACCATCAAATCTTGAATGGGGTAACCTTTTTTTGAAAAATTACTAGTTCTAATATTGAAAAATAGAGACATGCTTCTCAGACAACATTCACCAAAACAATGTCAATTAGCCAAAACGTTTGTTTCCAATCTACTGATTGTTTCCAAAAAAATCCACATCTTGGATTTTTGGGGATTAAAAGCAATGGTTGCCCCCTAATTAACAGATTCCAAAGCTAGAATACCCCAGACTCATCCTATCTTGTTGAATGAAAACGTGCCAAAATCTTAATTAAATAAAACCAGATGGGACTGAAAAACTACAAAACAAGACCTACGATTGGATTCCGGCAAGTCGAAAACCCATTGAAAAAGACCAGTTAGTTTTGATTATCATAATGCAATTTCAATAACTTTCTTAGAGTAATTGTTTAACTATTATCAGGGCATTTCTGTGGTAAGGTTTTGTATTTGATATATAGCACACAACTAGGTTTCACCCTGTTCACAAGCAATGAAAATTGACACTACACTCTTAAGATAATGGCTTCCACTCATTTTTTTATGATGAACTCTACTCTTTTGTTGAGCCAATCAAATTCTCTTA